TTGTATTAGTAGATGTGTGCTAGCCACCATAACTTTTCTTGTACATTATTACTGACTATATTTTAAAGAGTTGTAAAATGTTAGGAATAAAATGGTTTATGTCAGAATTATTTTGTTGTAGGTGTGGTCCATTGATTGATCTCTGCAGGGGCCCACATGTGAGACACACTGGAAAAATTAAAGCCTTAAAGATTTTTAAGGTAAGAGTAAAAATTTATAAGCTTTCAAAGTAACTAGAGCAGGGGCAAGATTGAATTATACTGATGCGTGTATTAGAGGGTTTTTGTTTTCCCCTCCACCGAAATGCCATAGACTGGGGTCTACTATGTCCTTTTTTTTTTTCTTGATTGTCACACCATCAAAGCCATCCTTAACGTTCCCCCCTATGCTCACCCTCAAATAAAATTACTGATTACCCTCCTTCTGTCCTCCCTGCCCCCCAAAAATTAACTGACTCTTGGCCATCCTGATTGCACTCAACTCTGTAGTGGTGTAAATGAACAGGATCAACTCATTTTTATAGATTATTAGTGTAGCCATTTGTTCGCAAAGTAAGAAAACATCCATGTTTATTGGTACAGAAAACAATGTTTTGCTCTGTCTTTTCTTTATTTTTAGATCCCATTAACTTGGCCAACTGCTGGCCAGCTGAGCCGATGAAACTGACACATGTGCATCTCAAGGCCACCCTGGTCTGCTACCACATGTTGTCCCCACACCCTCTGTCAAGCCCCCAGTGAGCACACTGAGCTTGTCTCCTTTGCACACCACAAGATCCCTGTAGAGTGGGTGACCACAGGACCTATAGTTATATTTTTTCCAAACCTGGAATGCTTGCCCTGGGTGGCTTGAAGGGGACTGTAAATAATGTGTAACCTGTAGGAAAAAATCAGTGACAAGCATCTGTTGATATCTGTTTGTTTTCAAGGCTATCTTTTCAAGGAGACAGTCTAGAAATTTATTTTTGTAAATGAAAACTGAGAATCCTTCATGTTTCCAGGCCCCTCAAAGCATGGGGCTTTCATAACTGCTAATGCTGGCTTAGCTTTCTGTACCTGAAAGTACTGCTTCTTTAAAGTGACATTCTGCACAAAAGAACCAGAATTAACTTGTGCAGATGCTTCTGGTAATTAGGTAATATAAGTTACTGGCAACCATTAATTGGTTAATTTGGTTGGGTGGTCAGAGTCCTTGATCTCCTTTGAACATTCAGCATCCTTTTGTTCAGTTAACTTTGTGCTTGAGATCTGTGTGCTGTTGTATTTAAATATTCAGATTAAGTGTTCAATATTCAAAACAGTATCAGTATTTGACTGTGAAAACGAGTTATGTTTTCTTCTGTTTTCTACTGTCTTACTGCATCATGTTGTGAAGTTACAGCATGTTGCTTTACATTCATCTGTAATGTAATGACATGATACAAGTTAAAATAACGTGGCCAAGTACAACAAATACATGATTAGAACAATTATTTATTTTTATGCATGCTGTGTTACTATCCCAACAAAAAAGCAGTGCATACATTTAACTGCAAGTATCTTTGTCTTTTAAACCAATATTGGATGACTTGACAATTCTTTTCCCAAGAAGCAGTGAGATATGGTAATTGGATTGCATTATCATTTATTCTTCCCCTGCAGCTGTTTGTATAATACTGTTTTTAAAAAATGTTATTTTTTTTAACATCAGAATTCTTCTACATATTGGGAGGGAAAGGCTGACATGGAAACATTGCAGAGAATCTATGGAATATCCTTCCCTGATAACAAAATGATGAAGGAATGGGAAAAATTCCAAGAGGAAGCCAGAAATCGGGATCATAGGAAAATTGGAAAGGTAGGTCCTGTTGATATTTTTATTACTCTTAAAGGGCATTGTCCTGGTGATGATCCAAAATATATTTCTTTCTCCCCAAAAGACCCTCTGAAAACTGAGTACTATTAGCCACCCCCAAATGATGGCTAAAATTAATTGGGTGACCCATTAACAAAACTAAGAGACTGACTTTGCCATTGCAGATATTATGCATTCTTCATCATAAAAACATAGGAATTAGAGATGACTAGTCAGGCCACTTAGTCTATCCCTCTGTTCCATATGGGTTGTCTAATGGTGATTTTCTTCCACTACTTCATTTATAACTAATCCATGGTCTAATGGGTCTTGTTGTTTTTTGTTTCCTGACATTCATCTTAAATCTTCCTTTGCTTAATTTAATCCTGTTACTCCTATTTATTCTCCCTTGGACCACCCTAAATAATTGTTCTTTCTCCTTAGTGTTCAAACCCTCTGTCCCCTCCCCACATACCCACCTATGGTTGCCTTCTAGCTAGGCTATACATACATAATTATTTTAATTTCAGAAATCATTCCTTCTCTTGCCATATCATCCCTCCAGTTTTCTGTTGCCTGCTTTCTTTCTGAATCAGCATGGGATTAAAACTGACAAGAGTCCTGTTCTCTGAATCTCCCAGATGACAGATTAATCTCCTAATATCTAAAATATAAATCAAAAAATAAAGTGTGAAGCAACTATTTGATGACTTAGATGCACATATGTGCTACAAATAATTGAACTCATTAATATATTAAACTGAAACTTGTTTACTGAGAAGTATACACGCACTGAGTCTCCATAAGTCCTATTTATGCCTATATATACCTTGCCCAAGCTCGCTCGCTCTCGCTCTCTCTCTTGTTTGTACTCAACCTTGCCTAAATTCTAGCCTGTAAACTCCAGGCGTGGACCTGACTAGCTATGTTAGGAACCCTAATACACCAGTGAGAATTGTACAGATAATAAACATGATCTGTGTTTGATCACATATCATATTAGGATTCCATTTATAAAGGTTTAAAGGGGTTAAAAGATCAGTAGATGTCGTAAGTATGTTCCAGGCATGAGTCCTATGTGTGTTACAGATGGTTATAAGCACATCAGTAGAAGTTGTTATAACTATATGAGCCACATATTGACTCTATAACAATAAAGTAACCATGCATTACAACATCTTGGTCACTTATTAACCCTTTATAAACTGAATCTTAATATGAAGTATGATTTTTTTTTTTTTGTTCAATATGTATTTACATTCGTTTCTTTCCCAGTTAAAAATGGATGAACTGGTGTAACATGATACATAGGATACTAAGAGAGGTTCTTCAAAGAAAAACGTACAGTACTAGATCCCCACTCTTATGCCCACATTCTTAGCACAGGGTTTTGACAAAGTTTCTACTTGCTCAAAACCCTGAGCCATTAAACCATCTCACCAGTGAGTGGTGTGTGCCTGCCAAACGACTTTTTTCCTGCACCAGTGGGTAGGAGGGTTGAACCTACTGGTGAGACTGTTTTAAGGGCTCAGAATTTTGAGGAAATGTGAGATTAGTCAGTTACACGTTTGGAGATGGGTCTCTAGTCACATGCCTTCTGAAAATCAGAATTACTGGTAAATTATTTTCTCAACATTTTAAATCTTGTTCTCTTCTGAAGTTCTTATTGCTACATTCTAAAAATATCATTCACTGTCTCTAACAAGGAGTCTTAACACTCTCAATTTAAAAATAGTGATTTGAACTGGAAAAAACATTCATGGATACAATTTAAGTGAGCTTACTGAATTCTACATTTATTTGTACAGGAGCAAGAACTTTTCTTCTTCCATGATCTGAGTCCAGGAAGCTGTTTTTTCCTCCCCAAAGGTGCCTTTCTTTATAATACACTCATGGATTTTATACGAGTAAGTGGGCATGTCTTAAAATTTCTAATCAACATAATTAAACATCTTTCCTTTCTCTTGAAGATGTGTTGCTTTTTTCAGACTGGCCTTAGCTCAAATGACACATTTTTGGGGTCCCTTCCAGCCCTACATTTCTATGATTCTTATTGATCCAACTATTGCGTTAAGGCACTCCCACACACAAAAAATGTGTGCTCTGGGTATATAGTTGTGTACAGATATACTGAAACTTTAGTGAGGTTGTATAGGGTAACTGCAGGAAGAATTTTATCTTCAATGAAGATCTATTGTAAGTAAGGATTGCAGGATGAGACTTTTACTATATGTAAAGCACACTCTCTGTAACTTTTTTTTTTTTTGGCTGCATCACCTTTTGGATTTATTTTCTAGGAGGAATATCACAGGCGTAATTTTACTGAAGTAGTATCACCTAACATCTACAACAGTAAACTCTGGGAAGCATCAGGTCACTGGCAGCACTACAGTGAAAACATGTTCTCATTTGATGTTGAGAAGGAAACATTTGCCCTTAAGCCCATGAACTGTCCAGGACATTGGTTTGTATTATCTTTCCTATTTTCCTACTTGTGAAGTAATGTTTTGAGGTTCAGGGAAATTAATATAGTAATGCACTGAAGTTAATATATAGTAAAACCTATACAGTAGACAACCCCTGTAGGGCAATCAGCTGTCCTCAGCGCTTGTCCCAAGGTATCTTTAGAGAGCTTGAGTACAGTTCTGCTCCTGTTTATTAAATACATGTTTGGGGCGGGGGGGAGATATAATTTGCAACTCTTGGGTTTTTTTGCAGTTTGTTTAAAATTTACATTGGATATGGATGGGATGATCTCATGGCTAGAGAGTAGGACAGGGTGCTGGAAACCACTGAGTTTAACTTCGGCTCCAACAGAGACTTGGCTCTGTGGTCTTTGTCAAGTCACTTTTTTCTGTGGCTCATTTTCACTATCTGTATAATGGTTGCTATACTTGCCTACCTTTCAGGGATGTGGAGAGAATTAATTGGTAGATTCTTGAAAAGTGTTACGTAGCTGATAACATATTTATCTTGTTTTTTCTTTGACAGGCCTAAGCTGATTTAGTTCAAAATTAATCTTTTATTTTGGGCCTTGTGGAAGAATATTAGCATGTAAAAGAAGCCAAAGACTGTTGGGTATAAGTTTTCCTGCCTAAATATACTTTGTCTTTTCTAGCTTGATGTTCGCTCATCGCCCGCGCTCATGGAGGGAAATGCCTATTAGACTTGCAGACTTTGGGGTTCTTCATAGAAATGAACTCTCGGGGACTTTGAGTGGTTTGACTCGAGTCAGGCGTTTCCAACAGGATGATGCACACATATTTTGCACAATGGAACAGGTGAAGAACTTTTCAGCCTTTGTCTTCTCTTGGCATGTTATGGTGTAGCTTAAGTGCAACATTTGTTGCTTTTATTTCATCCCTATTGCTAGGTTGCTTCCTTCTAATTCATTTGGGATTCAGTATGTCTTAGATTTCTATATAATTGCTTAAGTCAGTACCCTATCCTGCTTAGTGTCTACATCAGAAATTGCCAACAGCATAATGCCCTGATGTTTTATTAAGTTTTCCTTTTAGGGCATAAATGTTGTTTATTTGCAAAGGAGAACAATAAGTATTTGAGATGTTACTGACTGTGGGTTATTGAGTAGGCCTGCCTGGAGTTGTATATCTACAGGAAAAAATCCTATACTGGATCTTACTTTTACGTATCTTGACACAAGGATATTGAAGCAATAATGACAGAGTCCCAAGAGATCAAATAACAAGGAAAAAAGTGATATATCATGAAAAGTGGTATACCAATTAAAAAAGTGGTATATCATGGTGATGTTCTCCACTTAACTATGCTGAGTAGTATTTTATTCCATGAGTGATCCCAAAGATTTCAGTGGGGAGTAAATTAATACACTGTGTGAGAGAGAGTGGTAGAACCTGGCCTCAAAATCCCAGGCCTACAAAACATGCTTCTGATTCAGAAAAAATAAAGCAAGCCTGATTACAGTGATAAAACAATAGTAATGATCAACCAGTTCTCCATGGCAGCATTTTGATGTTCTGTTTGTCAGTTGATTTGTGTTGCTTAAATTTCAGATTGAGGAAGAAATGAAAGGCTGTCTGAACTTTTTGAAGACAGTTTATGCAGTGTTTGGTTTTACCTTTCAATTGCATCTTTCTACAAGACCTGAAAACTTCCTAGGAGAAGTAGAGATCTGGGACCACGCAGAAAAGGTAACGCAGGATGGTACTTAATACTTCCATTCACAGAAATTTAATGCATTTTAAGATGGCTAAATGTAAATGTATCCATCTCCAGAACAAAGAATGTAGGCCATACTTACAGGATATGGGACTCTTTCCTAGGAAGCAGTGACTCTGAAAAAGATTTGGAGGTCATGGTGGATAATCAGCTGAACATGATTTCCCAAAAGAGTTAATGTCATCCTAGGATGCATAAACAGAGGAATCTCGAGTAGGAGTAGAGAGGTTGTTTTGCCTCTATCTTTAGCACTGGTGTAACTACTGCTGGGATACTGTGTCCTGTGTGGTGCCCACAATTTAAGGAAGATAATGAAAAATTGGAGAGCGTTCAGCGAACAGCCATAAAAACATTTAAAGGATTAGAGAACATGCTTTAGAGCAGTGGTGGGCAACTTGCGGCCTGTGGGCCGAAGGTTGCGCACCACTGATTTAGAGACTCAAGGAGCTCAATCTATTTAGTTTGAAGAGGAGTTTAAGGAATGACCTGGTTACAGTCTTCAAGTATCTACATGGGGAAAACGTTAAATAACGTGTTCTTCAGTCTAGCAGAGAAAGGTATAACACGATCCAATGGCTGGAAGTTGAAGCTAGATAAATTCAGGCTGGAAATAAGGCATAATATTTTTTAAAGTGAGTAATTAACCATTGGAAGAATTTATGAAGGGTCATGGTGGATTTTCCACTGCCAATTTTGAAATCAAGGTTGGATGGTTTTTCTAAAATATATGCTCTAAGAATTATTTCAGGGGAAGTTCTATGGCTTGTATTATACAGGAGGTCAGACTAGATGATCACAATGGTCCTGCCTGGCCCTGGAATCTATGAAACATGCAACTGTCTAATGTCCAGTCTTGCAAACCTTCAGTCATGCTGAAGTGAGTGAGATTACTTACACGAATAGGAGGGTTTGGTTTTTTGTTTTTTTTTTTTTTTTGGTAGGACTGGGCTCTAAAATCTGTACTTGATAGATATGCTTGCTGAGAGATGTGAAACACTGACACAATAAATCTCCTGATTCATATAGTTTCTTATACATACCCATAGCTTGAACTGACTTTCTAACAGAAATTTCTTTTTGTTAATCTCCACTCACTCTATAGATACAAAAGCCAGGATTTAAAGTAATTACCGTATATACTTGTTCATAAGCCAATTTTTTTTAGTAAAAAAGGGAAGCACCAGAGACGGGGGTCAGTTTATGAATGGGTATAGAGAGGGAGAGGTGGGACACAGCCCCTCCCCCCAACAGAGGGAGCAAGGAGAGGCAGCACAGCCAGCAGAGACAGAAGGGAAGAGGCGGGGCCAGAGTCTCTCCACTTCTGGCCACGCTGGTCTCCCCCCAGCCTCTAAAGCAGCTGCAGCTCCGGGGCTGGCAGGCTGCAGCCATGCCACTCAGCCCCACTCCCGGAGCAGGCTGTGGCCGCACCGCCCAGCCTGCTGGAGCAGCTCCCGCCAGATCAGAGACATCCTCCCCTGGCCCTCCCCATATAATGTGGGAAGGGATGGGATGGGGAGAGTGTGGGGGTCCCAGGCTAGGGGTGGGGTCACGTGCAGGGTGGTCACAGGGGTTACTCCCCTGACTCCCAGCTTCTCCCCCCCCCAAAAGTTGCTGTCCTGGCCCATCAGGGTAAGCAGCTGGCGTGCTGGAACACTTTGTTTACTTAGGTTTACCTCTGTGCCTGTGGACGCTCGAGGTAAACAAACCATCTCGGCCCACCAGTGGCTTATCCTGATGGCCCGGGAGCCAAAGTTTGCTGCCCCTTGAATTATAGGGTCGGCTTATGAACGGGTTATAAAAAATTTTCCATTTTTACTTATCCATCTGGGGGGGGGGGGGGGGGTTAGCTTATAAACGAACCGGCTTATGATCGAGTATATACTCGATGGTTTTTTAGCTGTATTACTTCAAAACTCTTTATATTGCTAAGATATTTGAGTCAGTCCTACCCATTTTCTTAGTTTGTATGACTTAATCTTTGAAGTACAGTTCTTTCCCTCACTTTCCCCTTCATGGGCAGCTTTGGTAGGACTGTGTTAAAGAAATACAATTAAAAAAAAACTGTAATGTTTAAACTTCATCTTTATGATTTTTATATTAGCAATTACAAAACAGTTTGAATGACTTTGGAGAGCCGTGGAAGTTGAATCCAGGAGATGGAGCATTTTATGGTCCTAAGGTTAGTAAATCGGTGCAGTTCTGCAATGAAGCTCTGATGCAGCTTTGTGGGTGCATAATAGAGTAACCAAAAAAACAGTATATAGTAACTAAGGCATTTCCTTTGCAGATTGATATTAAAATCAAAGATGCTATTGGCAGGTACCATCAGTGTGCTACCATCCAACTTGACTTCCAGCTACCAATCAGATTTAACCTTACTTATGTTGGGTAAGTGCTTGAATTCTTAATCCGTCAACTATATGACAGATAATTTTTTTACTTTCACTGTTTGTAGCTCCTATTAAAAATGAGTTAACCAAAAGCAGTTTAATTATTTACTGGCCTCTGGACAAGCTGCTGACCTACCACTAAATGCCTAGGTGCACTAGTGGGACAAGAGATCCCCAGCAGTGGAAATAAGTACTTGGACTGGGCCCTGAGCTGAGAATTTCCCCCCTAATTTAGTAGTGTGTTCAACTGCTCAGTTTCATTGTAAATGTAAATGAGCAGAAAAAATTGATAACTTGTCTGTCTGGTCTGCTCTTCCTGAAGAGAATTGAGTACATCTGACCTTAGGTAGCCTTTCCCTTATTTGGGACAGACACACTAATCAATCACTGTAGTCTGATGCCTCCACTGAACACATTAAGTTAACACATTAAGTTTACACATTAAACTATCAGCACCTTGCAGGATTGCATTCTTGACACAGTAACAATTTTAAAGTAAAGATCAGATCAGCTGGGTTATCCTTGATGGAGGAGCATAAATCATACATGAACAATTCTTTTGGAGAAGGGAAATACCATTTTTGGTTTCCAACTTGAGAGAAGAACACTTTCTTGTTGAATAAACAAATTTGTGACAGTCATGTTGTCCTTGGACAAGTACTTCTATTAGTTTTCTGTTTTTTTCCTGGTTTGCCACATTTGATTGTAATTTCTCTCCCCTGACTTTTTTTTAATAAAAAAGCAGGATCTTTGTTTTGGATTTGATCTGCTCTTGCTACTTATTTGTCATCTGAAATCCCAATTGTTTATTTTTCACAGCATGATAATCATCACAGAAACCAAAGGATTGAAGTTTCAGATGGGAAATAAGCAGTAGGAATAGGGGAGATCCTAATGAAGATTATATGTTAATGTAAATGTCAGTAAAAATGAGTGGAAAGAAGTATATCAGAGATTAAGATATATAGATGTGGACCTGAGTCATAGAGTTGGAATCTGAATCCAAGTTCACAGTGATTTACAAAACCAGGGTTTTCTTTTGTGTCCATTTCTCATTATATGTAGGCAGGATTATTTCAAACTGCTTTGACCATCAATTATTTTATGAATGTCAGTATGTCACAGTAAATTTGGAGTGAAAGCTGTTGGATTTCATGCAATTAATAACTTGCTAATATTTAATATTTTATTTATATAAAAAGCAAAGTAGAAGATGGAAAAATGACAGTAAGCTTAAATGTGCGCTGATTAAGGTAAATGTCTTAATCTTCTTTCTTTCTGTTTTTCTTTCTTTGCAGTAAGGATAGTGATGATAAGAAAAGGCCAGTGATAATTCATAGAGCTATTTTGGGCTCAGTGGAGAGAATGATAGCTATTCTAGCAGAAAATTATGGAGGAAAATGGTATGTGACACATGTACAGTACTAAGAAACAATTAGGAACGTAGCTAGAAAATACAGAAACTTCCTAATAGCCAATACATCATAATGCAAAATAATTCACCAAGACTCTTAGCAAAAGTAGCACAGGCAAAACAACCAAAAGGTGGAATGTCTCATTGAGGCCTGAGTGCCATAAAATCATTAATATAATGGTTCATATTTAAAATATTAAGACTTCTGTATACAGTAGACAAACTCAAACGACATAATTGTAGACTAAGATAAAAGATTAGAAATTCAGTTTTACAAGATTATAATAAAACTAGTACAGTAAGACCATATTATTAATATGGCAGTTGAAACGTTTGCAGAATACATTTTATTCACCCTTCATTATTTAGCTTGCAGATTCATTTTTTATACCTATATGACTGTTGTACATATATAGATCCATAAATTAGAGAGTCTTAACATATATAAATAGTGAAAGCTGCTCCCTTATTCATGATTAATATCTGAAAGATAACTTCTTCATGAATTGGTGATAAAGAAGTACCATTGAATGGAGGGGGGCAGAAAGGGAACAGATCTCACTCATGAACATACAGTCCACCTATTATTTTAAAAGTATAAAATAAAGGAAAATGGCTCATGTGTGAAAAATTAAAATGCAGTCTAGTTATGAAACCAAATGTGTAACTTGGAAAGGAACAAGAGATCAAAGTTGTGTATATATCTTCATGCCCTGTGAGTTTGTATCCCGAGCTCATTCAAGGGATTCCAGACTTTTATCTAAGCTAGTTGGGTACTGAAGTCACAAGCAGAAGTGCAAAACCCAAGGGTGATGGTGTCACTAGAATATTTCCTTCAGAGAATGATACCTGCAAGTGATTTCCCTTTACACCGTAATATGAATTGACTCCAAAGCAACCTGAAAATGTTGATTATTATACGGTAACGTTTTCTCTTTTTTAACAACATTAACACAAAAATAAATTTAAACTTAAACTAGTAATCCCTTTCCATATTTTTTTCTATTGTTCTAAGGAACAGCGGTGCATATAATATTCTGTAGTGTCCAAAGATCATCCACTGTTTGTTTGGAGACAATTAGCCACAACAGAGGTAGATTGAATTCATGACATTATTTTAGTTTTAACAGTAAATTTCAGGGCTTCTGTTTATTTAACCCAGATCCAAAATTATTCATTAATATATTATGTTCTAGATCAGGGTTCTCAACCTTTTTCTTTCTGAGGCCCCGCCAACATGCTATAAAAACGCTGTGCCACAACAACGGTTTTTCTGCATATGTAAGCCAGGGCTGGCCTTACGGGGTAGCAATCAGGGCAATTGCTCAGGCTTTGGCTTCAGCCCCAGGTAGTGGGGATTGGGGCCCTGGGCTTCAGTCGCATGCGGTGGGGCTTTGGCTTTCTGCACTGGGCCCCAGCGAGTCTAACTCTGGCCCTGCTTGGCAGACCTCCTGAAACCTTCTCGCAGCCTCCCAGGGGCCTCAGGAAGTGCTGTTCTAGGTGAATTGGGCAGGATAAAGATCATGCCTTAGCCTAGATGTCTAATTAAATTTTAAAATTAAATATTTTTGAAAATTATTCAGCTATTCTTAGGGCATATAAACACTGGCATGAATGGAAGGTGTGTGTTTCGTGTATGTGTATATACAACATATTTTTTTTATATAATTTTTATTTTTGTTACATTTGATAGGCCTTTCTGGCTCTCTCCTCGCCAGGTCATGGTTGTCCCTGTGGGGCCTACTTGTGAAAAATATGCTCAGCAGGTAAGAATAGACTTCCTTTAAAAAATAGAAATAAATTTTATTTTATGAACTATTGGATAACCTATAATTCCATCCTAGAACAAACATGTAACCCTTAGGAAATATAGACATGCAGAGATAAAAGCATTATTGTCGTAGTCTTTATTGCTTTCTAAAATTGTCATGAATCTAAGGGGACATGTAATTCCTAAAAAAATAACATTCTTTGGGGCTTTCTTGCTGCTTAGGCTTCAGGAATTCTCTAATTTAAGAAAAAATAACATAGCCCTAGAGTAGCCATCTTGTATATTGTAATCTGTGTTTTATTATAAAATTGTCTGTTAAACTAACAGAATAAATTTGCCCCAATCCTGCCAAGTACATAAGATTTGTATAATTTTCTCAAGTGAATAGTCTCTATGATTTCAATGGAACTCTTCGTAAGAGCATATTTATGCATACTTAAATGCTTTGCAGAATCAGCGTCATGATCTCTGTTGAAATATATATAGTAATATTAATGAAACTTTAACTTTCTTTTAGGTTTGCCATGAATTTTTTGAAGCCGGATTTATGGCTGATGTTGATCTAGATCACAGCTGCACATTAAACAAGAAAATAAGAAATGCACAGCTTGCACAGTATAATTTTATTTTAGGTAATTGTGTATTTAGGTTTCTGATCATTGTAAAAGTGTTTTCTTTTTTAAATTTTGGTTATAAACTTCAAATGCTGGCATAGAGTTTGATTTTATTTTAAATTTCATAATGTAAGCAGGAGATTAAACAGATTTTAGCAAATTAGTTAAAGCAGAGTTTCTTTTCACATATTTTTTTTTTAAAAAAGAGTAAAGGAATAGGTATGAGTTTAAAATAGTTTTATGTTTAAATGGTAGGGCATACCTTATTGAATGTGTGGAAAGGACTAAGATATGGGGCTGGAGTGGTGACCAGCATTGGTCCCAGTGAATTTTTCTCTAGTAGTTATTTACTCTTCAAAAGTTACAAGCTTGCTGCAGATCCATTAATGTCTTTCTGCAATATTCCTCTTGCAGTGGTTGGAGAAAAGGAAAAAGCAAATAATGCTGTCAATGTGCGAACAAGAGACAATAAGGTTCATGGAGAGATTTTGATAACGTCTGCCATTGAAAAACTAAAGAAACTGAAGAAATCACATGCTTTATATGCAGAGGAAGAATTCTGAAATTGCTGCTAACTGGGAGCCATGTTAACTGTAAATGAAGCTGATTATTTTTCCTCTTCTCTCTAATACTGTTGTGCTTATTTGCAAGGTCTTTGAATTAATGCACAAAAATGTAGCTGATGTGGGTGCTTTTGGGATAGTGTGAAGGACAGATGCAAACCTTGGACTCCTCAAACAATCACATGAATCCATAGCAACTGGAAAATTCCATTTAGAAAAAAAACCCTACACCTATGCTACAAAATGTATTGTTTCTGCTATATAAATAAAGCTGGGGCTCTATTAAAGTGATCAAGAGAAAAACACTGGAAAGTGTACTTGCTGCTACTGCTAAAAAACTTAATCAGATAGTCAAAAGTAGCTATGTAATTTACTTGTCTGGCATCAGAAACTTGGCAGCTTGTAGATGAAATTAAAATGCTCCTCATATATTTGTTTTGACATCAGTTTTTCTCAAATATTTTTTGTTTGGGCCTGTCTAGTTCCTACTGGACTAATGTCTACAGGCCATACACGTGTTGGTACTATTGTTGTAGGTCTCTGCAGCAAAGACAGGCACTGAATGGGCATTAAGATTGAATAACCACTTATTTCAAAGGTGACCACCTAGAGATAGGTTGAAATATACTGCCTAAGCAATGTAGGCTGTTGTCTGTAGGGTTCTTGTTCTTTGAATACATGGAAAACCTCCATTTATAGTGCTGTAAACTTGACTCCTTTCACAAGTACTAAATTCACTTTTAAAAGACTTAATTTAAAAAAAAACCCAACCCCTCCATAGAATGCATTGTGGTGTTTCTGCTTTGTTTGGGCAGAAAAATACGTTGAAAAATCTGTTACATGTAAATTTCCTTAATTATTTTATCTTTACAATATAGTTTATTGGAAACATCAGCCTAGGTGTATGTTGAATCTAAATTTGTACTTTTAATTGCTCCATTTTGTAATTAGATTAAAAAGTTTACTGTTCCTGGCAATTGAATAAATCTTCAATACAACAATCTGTTTTGAGATGTTTATTCTCTGTACAAGTCTAATGATCTTATTTCAATTTCTTTTATACAGTTGTTTCAGTAACGTGGCTTGTCTAATTTTTGTTCGCTAAATTGCAGTAAACCAATTGTCTGAAGCAATCTAAATTAGGTACACTGACTTACATAATTAGTTACCTGACATCTTAAAAAATGAAGCAGAAAGTAGGATTTAATGTATAAGTATTTTACTTAAACAGAAAATTCAAAGTTGTTAACCTTCTGTCCAGGGCCGGCTCCAGGCACCAGGCAACCA